ATTTGTTTTTACTTACACGTGGAGACGCAAGCACAATCCAAGTTCAAAACAAGAATTGAGAATCACTAAACTGGCAAGTAGTTGCAAGTGGAATTTTCCTATAAATAAAGTATTCATATACTTGATAATGACTGCAAATTTCAGGTGGAACGCACATTTATACCACTCTGAACACAAAGCACACATGCTGTTGTAATAGGTTGACTGAAGTTCAATCTATAATGGACTTGTAACATAGAAGTTTTGAGGAGCGTTAAGTGGACTTTGTAGATAAATATATCAAAGTCATCAGTTTCTGATGTTTAAATGTGTGATGATAAATCCCTGTTTGATAATGCAAGCAAGTAAGTTTTATACAACTGTAAGCGTACGGATTCTCTTGGAACAAAAATGCAATGTTAAAACCGGCTATTCTGACAAGTAGAGCTATCAGGAACTTGTTAAAGACTGTTTCATTGTCTCTTAACAATATGTACACTTTGTAGCTTTAAGAAAATTAAGTTACCTTGTACTATACAAAATTTATACACATAAGAGCACACCCATCTTGACTCTTTACCTAAAGTGCATGTGAAATCTAGGAGAGAGAAAATGGAGAAACCTTGGTTAGGACCGGAAGAATTTAGGAGCTCTGGAATACAGCAACTGTTGCACTGGGATTACTGTGCAGTTTCCCTCATACATCCCTCGAGGTTCTGCTCAAAAATGGCATCCGCTTTGACATGAGAGAAGAATAATCAGCTTTGTCCCATATCTACCGTATGTGGACAACAAGTTATCCCGTAAGCCAAGTAAGTAGGGCTAAGTGTTCCAAGCTGTGGCATGGAACACAGAAATGGAAGCGGTATTCAGTGTAAGCTCTCTTATAGTCTCATCTATTTTACCTTAATGAAGGTAAGTGTTTGAGCAGCAGGACTAAAGCTCTGAAAGGGGTTTAAAACAATTGTCAGTTTATCTTAAAGTCCAAGAATCAAATATCATTAGCTTAACTACTTATTTTAATATTCTTGTTAAACTTTGGAAATAAAGATGACAGTTCACTTCATGATTTTAACTGATGATTCTCAGCCACAATGAGAAGAAACAGTTTCTCATAATGGACTATTTCTACAGTTTTACTTAAATACTCAGCTTTATCAAACATTTGTTTCTACAAACCTGAATTTGGGCCAAATCTGAGGTGACACTTTGTCAGAACACTGGTAGAGTATGGTGTGCTGCTGGCAGCCAAGTCACTGGGGAATCCACGTGGTCCTCCTCACCAACAGAAGCCAGCAACAATGTCACGCCTTTTAAAAGCACACCCAGAAGATACTGTTTTCATTGCACAGATGCTGCTAAATTACCTTACAAAGTCAAAGGAATGGGTTGATACGTTTGGGGGTGTAGGTTTAATACAGAAGTGTGTTGAGTAAAGAGTAACATCCTTCAGCAGACTCTCTCCAGTTCACTTGGTAAAGCAGCTTTATCATAACCCCTCCTTTAGTCTTACATTCTTCCACAGGAGATTTCCTCTCTTGCCTGCTAGGAGCAGTCTCTGTCTTGTAGGTTGTCGACTACATGGTTTCTTCTCTGGATTGTGAGAGATTCAATTGTTTTATGTGCCTGTTCCAGTTGGATCTTTAAACCTTCGTTGTCTGCCTTTAGAATATTTCTTTCCTAAACAAAAAAAAAAATAGAGAACGGTGGTTTATTTTTAACTTGTTTCAGGACTCTCTGGTTGTATGTCTAGGTTGACTGGCATACACATAAGTTGGTGTAGCTCTTATCTGTGGAACAGAACCAGTAACTTATTTGAACATTTCCATAGTCACTGGTCTATCCTTTGTGTATACTCCTACAACTTTCCAGCAGCTGGCACCTGACAGTCGTGTCCACAACCTGCATTTATCCACCCTCCATTGCTCCTCTCACAGCAGCAGTACTCTAGGGGAGACAAGAACACAGCTCACACTTACTGCTCTACTAATGCAGAAATTGATGTACAAAGTCTAAGAGATTAATTTATAGCAGCAGCTGCTGTTCAGTAATTGAGGTCAGGACCTGCTGAGGGAGCAAGGCCAAGTGTAAATTGTGGGATTCACATGAATGGGACATTTTAAAGAACCAGTTCTTAGAAGCACATCCACGCTTCACATCCCTGTCTATACTGAATATACTGTTGACTGAAAGAGAAGTGGTCTGTGCTGGAATATTCTTGCTAATTGTCTTAACCTCTGTCTTAATAAACCACTCATCTTTCATAAAAGATGAGCTCACTTTATCAACAGCAAAGGATACTCTGAAAGTTATAGTGATCATTGAATGATCAGGCTGTGGTCCTGTTGTGGACTGTTTCCATGTCGGTCCATCTCAGGACAGCGATAGTAATGAGTAAAGTGTGAAAATAAGTCCACCTTTGTTCCTCATAATAATACCTGGATCCATCCATCAGTTGCATTGTTGATAATGTGATAGTCTCTTTATTCTGTCTGGAAAGGCGTTGTTTCTACAAACCTGAATTTGGGCCAAATCTGAGATGGCACAGTCTTATGAACAGCTACTTTGTTAGAACACTTGTAGAGTAAGGTGAGCCACAACTGGGCTGATGCAGATGAAATCTAGCAAGAGGCCTCATGTCTGTTCACACAGCAAAATTTCTTGGTGACAAACTTTTCAAACAAAAGAAGGGATTTACTGCCAGCTGAACAAAAGCAGAGTTCTGCACCCTTCCTGCCCCATATATTCTGACACTTCAGGGAGCAGAGGCCACCAAAAGCAGGAAGAAGTTCAGGACTATGTTACTCGTTTTATGGAGTAGCATCCTGTCCTAAGCAATTGGATTATGGCCACGTTCTTGCCTGTCATTTTTAAGACTGACAGGGATTGGTGTAATCATAACAAGGGCTTCCAAATTTATTCCCTAAGCCCTATAAGAGTACTAAAATTTATGCTTGAAGTGAAGCATTGCTGGAGTTAAAGTGGCTACAGATTTACGATACCACTCGTGGATTGTTCTGGCAATTAATTACACTGGAGTAAGGTGACACCTTCCCACCCAGCCACTCCCCCACACCCTCCAACCACTTCATGGTACTGTTGTGTAAAACAGAATTTGTTTCATTGCGTATGTACCTGCTCAAGTTCCTGGTATGAGGGTTTACAGCTGTGATGCTCCTCCTTCATTTTCTGGCTGGAGTCCTTGTTTTCCCATTTAACGTATGCCTTTCTGCGGCCTAGAATTGGGCTTGGACATGGGGATGGTGGAGCTGCCTGGAGATAAGGATTTTCTGGCATCCTATGTTCTTTCTTCTCTGTCTGCCTACGAGAGGTATCACCAGCCTGCAGTACAGGATCAGTCTGTGTACCTTTATGAACCACAGCTGGTTTCAGTCTCACTGAGATTTTCTGAGCTGAGGAACCCATGAGCATAATGGTTCGGTCCTTGCTACCTTCAGTGTGTTCCACTACTTCTCCATTAGGAAACGTGAACGGTCCTTCTTCTGG